CTAGTAACCCTGAAGCATGAAGAAGATTTATCATTAATGTAAACAAACTGGAATCTGTCAGATAAGCAATATCTAAACCAGTCTAGCATGGTTTCTTTAATTCCTACAAAATATCCAAGTCGTTCCAAAATAATATTCTGATCAACTGTATCAAAGGCAGCACTGAGACTTTGATGTTTTATTCTCTTGAGTTTTCATGACATGAATAAGATTGAGGTAGAAAGAAAAGCAAAAATAATAAGATGGCTAAATCATAATTTAAATTGAAAGAATAATAAAACATACATTCTGGTTCATGCAGACACAACATTTATTGCACAAATTTTTTTATTAATAAATATAACCATTTTAGATTCTGATGCTGCTTGGAGAAAATATGCGCCTTTATTTTTTAGACATACTTATTCACCTTTTACCTCCACCTGTGGTGTGTCTCACAAATAGGAATTAAAAAGTGGGTTTGACTTTGGTCAGTCAGCATGACTTTCCATTCAGAAATCAGTTGCTTTTTCACCATTTCTTGCCCATTACTTATTCTTGAATTTTTATTTTTTAGTGACACTGCTTTTACATGTTGCCTCTCTTTGGTTTGGGAGCTTGTTGAAAGAATAATCCTGTAGACTCAAGGATGTTGTCTTATAACTGAATCCTGCTAAGTTGAGTTATACTATTATGTGATTGGAACAAAGAAGTGGATTGGATTATTTTTGAAAACATCTTTTTTTTATAGTTTATACTCTAGTTGACCATGAACTGCAGAATTTCCTCCAATCCGTAACATAACAGTGATCCTGCTTTGAGTACCTCCTAAATAAATACAGCAAAGCCTGGATGAGTCACTTCTAAATGCTGATAGCAACTCTGCCCTAATCAGTATTCTATTTCAGTCTAAACCAAATGGTTGTTTTTATTTTGTCAAAGCTTTCTTTGAGATTAATGGACCAGGGGTCACTTTAGTGGGATTAGATGACCCACAGTAGCAGACACAAGTCTGTCATACTGTTTGTAGAGGGTGTATCTCTGTGTGTCATGTATTCTTTATTGTCGAGATACAAACACAAAGAAGAATTTATTTTTCCTTTTTATGTTTCACATGTTTTAAAAAGGTGTGAGTAGGTGCTCTTAGTAAATATCTGTTTCTTTGGATGTAAGAAATGTAACCCTTAGATCTTTGCAGATTTGCAGAGTGAAAATAGTGTGATGAATAAAATATAAAACCCGTTTCCATTAAAAAAAGGGTCCAAAGATTTATACTTAAAGTAAACGCGCATGAACATACGTGCATATATAAAAGATATGTCAGTACATCATCATTAGGTAATTTACATAATAATAATATTAGTTAATGTGGTGCAAAAAAAATTTAATAACCTAACAGAGATGTGCATCTGTCTGCCACTTTATTGAAATTGCTTGAGCAATTTTGTGTAAATTCGAGTGATTATGTGAGATGTATGAATATTGATGATCTTCTGTTACAAAATACACAGCATTTCTGGCATCATCATGCATACTCAATTCAAAGTGATCAAATTCTCTTTCTACATATTTTGAAGCTGAGTTTAACTTTGGTAAGCCAAGTTCCCCACATATATTTTTAAATGTTCATATCCCTGCATTATTATTGGTTGATTCACTAGTTGCAATATTAGAAGGAAAGTACAGGTTCTTTATTCATTACAAACTGTTGCATTTGACCTTCAGCACTAATTCTTGATTTAGAAAAATATTATGATTTAAACATTTAAACATTTGTTTATAGCATTAGTGTTCTTAGGCACTAATGCTAAACCACAATCACCCTGGTTGTGGTTGTCAGACGTGGCTTTGCATGCACAAACATGGCTTTGCATGCCATCATTACAGCAGTTTTCACATGAATGTCAGAGAATTATCAGATAATTAGTTGTGGACTTTGAAAAAAGATTCCTATTTACACATCCTTCAGAAACCAGGATATGTTTTTGCATGAGACATGTTCTTGCAAGTCCTCTGAATGGATTTAGATAGAGACAGTTTACAGGAGATGTGTTTATATGCATGCAGACAGTACCATTTATGAACCATACCCACCTGACAATCAGTGTGACAAAAACATTAGGGAGAATGTTCATGTAGTTCTGTCCATTTACATACTGTATTATGCTAAAAACCCCATTTAAAATACAAACAACTAAATAAATCACCAGAACCCCCTCTTTTCATAATATCACCCCTGTCCTTCAGGAACTCCATTGGCTCTCAGTTCAATTTAGAATACAATTCAAAATCCTTCTTTATACTTTCAAAGCGCCTTTCATAATCTTGCTCCTCCATATCTGTCAGACCTCCTTCACATCACCACCTCCTCCCGCTCCCTTAGATCCTCCTCCTCCATCCACCTCACTGTACCCCCAGCTCAACTTGTCACTATGTGTACAAGAGCCTTCAGCCGCTCTGCTCCAGCTCCCTCCTGACCTCCGCAGTATTGACTATCTCTCCTTATTCAAAACCGGACTCAAAACCCATCTGTTCTAGCTTGCTTATCTATAAATACATTGAACTTGTCCCTCCTCACAATTGTGTTTATGTTCCTGTGTTTGTATTTTTTGTGTTTCAATTTTTTATTCTGTAAACTGACCTTGAGTGTCTAGAAAAGCGCTGTTAAATAAAATTTATTATTATTATTATTTATTATTGAAATGTTTACTGTCATATCTAAAATATATATATGGTATATATATATATATATATATATATATATATATATATATATATATATATATATATATATATATATAAAACATTAGTTAGTTGAAAGAAAACTGCTAGTTGGCTTAAGATTGTAATTTCTGGTTTGAATTTGCATGATTAAGTTACAAGGTCTGCATAAATGATATACTTGCAACATTCCACCAAAATTTAATTAGTGATCTGGTTGCTCTTTCACCTTTGCAAATCGTCTCAACCCCAAAATGTTCTCTTTTTAACATTTCGTGCTGGGACAATCACTCTATGTGATGTTTAGTATGTTTCACTGGATTTAGAGCCTACAATTTCACAATATCTTTAACAAATCTTTTCTTTAAACAAGACTGAATTTATAAAAAAATAAAAATAAAAAAATCAGGCAAATCTAGACATAAAAAGTAGTTTTTAGTTTTATTGTTCATGATGTCATTTTGCAGTTATACCCTAAAAGATTTAGGTTTAGATTAATATTTTATATTTAACATATTCTTAAGTAATGTTGACATTTTTGAGTGTCCAAGCTGAAGTCCAACATAATTCAGAGAGAGGAAAACTGTGAAAGGGTTACAGGTCATTGAGATTGAAACCTGCAGCTTATTATCATAGATAAATCATTAAAATACCTCTCTGAAACATGCCAATTATGCTGTAATGACAACAACATTTTTTAGCCTATTATTGAAGAGTATAAATAACTTACAATGCATTATCTTTGTTAAAATGTAAAAAATGTAAATGTTAAAACTGGAAAAACTATATTAATACATTTGTTATGTTTATATTTTGAGAAATCCAGGTTTTAATCCCTTTTGGATGAGGTGAAAATTGTTAAAGAGCTACGTGAATTTGCCAGGAATGACTCTTTTTATGAAATGATCTCTTTTTGGTTCTGGTTTTCATTTATATTGGTTTTAAGGTTATTTCTTTAATTTAGTATGTATTTTTTATACTTTTGCCAGACTTAGTTGAGTCTTCAGTCTTTTAACCAGCTGTGTAATTATTGTAAGTTGTTTGTTGTGGTATGTTTGTCTGTGTATTTTAGTTAATTAGCTAAGATTATTTTAGAAATTAATTCACTTAACTTGTATATCCTTTTGTGTCTAGATTAGCTCCCTGCGTATTAACTTGGTTTTTTTCACTTTATAGCAATCACAATATTTCAAACATTTTTTAGTGTGTAAAAAAGACTAATTAGAGATGGAGACTAAAAAACACTCCTTTCAGAGGTCATTAAAAACACAATCTACCAGCAGATGTGGTTTATCTTATCCTGCATCTTACTGCTTCCTTCATAGACCACATTTGGCAACTAGTGACTACCAGACTGAAAGTGAGTGAATATTTGTGTCCATTGTAAATCCCACATTTTTCTTACAGCTACCATAAATTGGCCATATGTTCCTTTAAACAACTTATCCCATGTATCCCCACACAACACATTTATATAAAGATTGCTGTCAGAAGAAGAATAGAACTCAACTTTATTGTCATTCCACTGTCACAAGTACAAAGCAACAAAATTAACTCTCTGTATTTAACCCATCCCCTTGAGGAGCAGTGGGCTGCCATTGTGTGGCACCCGGGGAGCAGTGTGGGGGTTAAGGGTCTTTGCTTAGGGACCCAGAGTGGCAGTCCATGGGAGTGGGGCTTGAACTCAAAAACTCTGGGATCCAAGCGCAATGCCCTAAACCACTAGGTTGCCAATACCCTAAAAAGACCATTGCTAGGTTCTGCTGACTCTTGAACTCAGATCACTGGATCCAAAGTTCTAGCCATTACACAAAAGAACCCGATGTGAAATTTGTTGGTTCATAAATGGTTAAATAATCTACTATGTGCTAATGGAGCAGAAACATATTGATGGAACATTTATTAAAAACAAAAAATAAACTTCATGAGGATTTCCATTCTTTCATTTGCTCCAATTTGTGTTTTCAACACTTTTAGTGAGTTTAAAGTGTTTCTGTCAGCCCTGAACTTAATTGTGTTTCCTAAATGGTAAAGCGATTTGGATAAAAGGATCTATCAAATGACTAAATGCAAATGCAGAGCTCCTGTCTCATCATAATACAGTTTTCTCCCATCAGCTACAGGTAGGGGTCTCTTTCCCTGCAGCATGTGATGCATGATTCATATTCTACTTGCCCTGCAATTTACAGCACTTATAAGGGTAGCAGGAATTGTTGCTTTGTTACAAAGCATGAGCTTTTTCTGTGACTATATTTTGGATATGAAATAGATAAGAAAAAACTAAACAGTTCATCAAAATATGCTAGGGTATAATGACGTAGTTTTAATAGAGATGTTTGATATCATATTTTAGCGTTTTTGTCTTTTCTGATCATACTTCATAAGTTCGTAAGGAAGTCAGTTCAGAATGAAAGTGTGATTCCTTGCGATAAAGATCCTTTCAAGAACAGACATCAAAAGTTCACTTAGTCGTTCCCCCTTTGCCTTCTTCATCTTTCACTTCATCAGTTTCATCAGATGCTTTCAATTCACCCTCTTCACTTTCCTCCTCCTCCAACTTAGCCACATCATCCTTCTCTTCCTCTGTTTTGGCGTCTTTATCCGTCTCAACCTCTTCGTCTGTTTTTTTCACTGCTTCCTCCTCTTTAGCTTCTTTTTTCTTTTCTTCTTCCTCCTCATCCTCATCTTCCACCTCTTCACCAGTCAAGCGCTCCAGATCTGCAACACGTTGTCTAAGAGCTGTGCCAGCATCCTTGTAATTGCCCAAAATCTTCTTGAGCTTTAACTGCATGAGCTCCATTGTGCTGTACAGTTTGGTGACCTTTTCCTCTAGCTCCTTAACCTCAGGCTTAATGTTAGCTGGATCCAAGTCTATGAGACCATCTTTCATTAAAATCTGTCGACCCTTCTCCTCTAGCATGGCCTTAGCATCAGGATACTCAGTCAGTGACTCAATCAGGTCATCTTTGGAAAGGCAGAAGAGGTCAGAGTAACCAATGCTTCTAATGTTAGCAGTCCTCCTGTTGCCTGCTTTACTGCCTTTAATATTGAGGATGCTAATTTCGCCAAAATAGCTACCACTTCCTAACACTACGAACTGTGTGACACCATCATCGGCTACAACTGCTAGTTTCCCATCTTTAATGATATACATCTCGCGGCCAATGTCGCCCTTTTTGCATATGTAGTCTCCGGGGCTAAAAACCTGTGGACGAAGTTTAAGCACAAGCTGGATAAGCAGACCAGCTTCGCAGTCTGCAAATATTCTTACTTTCTTTAGAGTGTCCATGTGTACTTGGATGGCTATTTCTGCTCTTAGCTTGTCAGGAAGATACCGTAGCACCTCCCTCTCATCTTGAGCCTTGCCGTTATTCCACAGGTAGTCAAACCACTTGATGACACGTAGCTCAAGTTCTTTACTGACTTTTCGAACCTATCACAAGAAAAAACAATATCAAAGAGGTAAATTAATAGTATACCATCAGATTTTTTGATTTTTGTAGTTTTTCTATCCTGGCTTTTAGATATTTACCTGCATGTACTGTTTGATGTTGTCAATGCGGGCTTGAAACTGGGCTTGGGCAGCATTCATATTGGAAATCATAGTAGCAATGTTTCCCACAATGGTAGCAAAAATCAAGACTCCGACTAAGAAGTCCACCACGTGGAAGAGAAATTCAGAGTCGAGAGCTGGTGGTGGGGTTTCACCGATGGTGGTCAGAGTCAGTGTGGACCAATATAGGCTAAAAGCATACTTTCTCATAGGCTCACCAAATGCAGGCTCATCCGGATCATCAAGGGCTGGGTAGACCCAGTCATCAGCTCCAAAACCAATTGACTTAGAGAATGAAAAGAAGAGGCAAGCATTCCAGTGGATGATGATGAGGATGTACATGATTAAATTTCCAATGCGGAAGATGTTTGGATAGTTGGTTTTAGTTTCGGTCCTTGTGAAGAACTCCAGCAATCTGCCAATTCTCAGCAGCTTGTTAATGCGAATCTCTGGGTATTCAAGTCCAAGTACAAAATAGAAAATATCTGTCGGCACCATGGACAGAACATCAAGACGAAACTGGAAGCTCTTAATATAGTTTTCTTGAAGTAGCTTCTCATCCTTCACCATCAGGCCTTGTTCAAGGTACCCTGGAAGGAAGAAAATACAACACATACAGACAATTACTACAGTAAAGTAGTCTGTCTGTCTGCCTGTTTATTTTTGTATTCCTCTGTTGAAGTTACCCTTCAGCTTTTGTGCCTTTGAGGCATTAGGCAAGATACTGAAAGGCCAATAATTGTTGTCATACTGCACAGGGCTGGTTATACTCCCCACAGCAGTGTGTCGCAGTGAGCTTGTCGCAGGTATGACAAAGACATTTTTGATTTATGCTCAATTGTGAAGCATGGTCTGCACTATGTTATTCCACGCCACAACACAAGAGGGAAAATCACAAACTAGCTGTGGGTCTAGATACGGCAGAGGTGTTGAGGAAGTGGGGGCAAGTTTGTCCCACAACGGAGGGACATGAGGGCGAAAAAGAGCGGGGATCCAGGTGGAAAAAGGGTCCCAGTATTCTCGCGGACTTCCCTCTTCTAGCTGGTCCAACTTCACGAGTTGTTATCCGCAATGGCGGTAAGGTACCAAACAGGAAATACGCACGAGAAGAACAGATGTAGATTTCACCAATCAGAGGCCTCCTGTCTGCGGCACTGTCTGTGGTCACTTACGGTTTGGGAGAGGTGCAGCAGAGTGTCTGTTTAAGTAGGCATCAGCCAGCTTAAATGCTAGAAATTTTGATGTAAATAAAAAAAAGATATGTCCAGTTAGCAGATTTAGGTGGAAAAAATGTTTTTGTCAGAAACATAATTTTCAAGAATCCTTGTTGACTTCAAAACCACAACACAGATGGTGATGGAATTATGTGAATATTGTTTGTGTTATGGCAGATTCCCTTTTGTAAACTAATTTGTGTTGTACACATTCAATTTAATTGGTGATTTATGAATCAAAATCACACAAGGCATTTTATAAATGTATCTCTCTTTGAAACCTTATACAAATGTTTAGTGAATATGAAAGTGAGTAGAAACATCTAATAATAGTAAGTCAAAGCTGCCAGTTGACCTAACTTGCATATTTTAGATCCATGGGAAAACGATGAAGTACCCAGAGCATTAGTATGGCATGACACCCTCCAACCGCTTCAAACCTCTGGCCTTCTCTCAAGCCTCTATAGGCTTTATTATATAATTTTCCTGGTCCAGGTTCTACTATCAAAATGTGACTGGGCTGCGCTGAGCTTCTGATGCCCACACCAGTGAAGTAGGGGAACAATGATGATAGCCTCTGAGACAGGGAAGGCATTGGCATATGCACTCAAGTTTCTGTTCTTTTCTCTGACAAAAATGCCAGATATTCTCCACTCTTCATGTATACAGTACGTCTTTGTCTCTGGCATTGAGGTCAAGGACAAACCAAGTCCTGGGTTTCTTCCATTAACAAGGGGCTTGAAAATTACCTCAGGTCCCTCTCTCTGAAAATAGGATTTCCTGCACAAATGGCTGCACTCTGACATGATATAGTTTAACCAATAGTCCTGTCAGGAAGAGGAAACCTTTTTACACTAAATGTGACAAAGTAGTAACCCTTGAATGCACTACTTACTACCTACCTTCACTAGCTAATTTACACAGAAGCAAGGGGAGCACATGCCATCCTGCTGTAGAGTCTAGCTACCCCTCCCCAGTTGTAAGTAATTATAATTCTTGTAATTCTTTTGTTTCTTTGTTCAAAAGCCCCTTAAGGCCTTCGAATGAAACATTTTGTTTCATCAAAATATATACTATAAGTAACATAAGCTATATATATATATATACACGTATGTAGTACTAAAATAAAAAAATTGGGTGCCACAGGAACAATATTCCTAAATACGTCTGTTGGGGGAAATTGTAAGAAAATGCTTAATAATTTTTGGGCTTATATTTCTTTAGACCTTTTGTCGTAATAAGTGGCCTAATCTTTCCAAATCTTGATGCTACAGTAACACATTGCAGATGAAAAAAGGAAAATTGAAAGTGAAAACATCACTTGTTCTTATGGCCAAAAAGTGTTGTCAGATTAATGGAAGGAAAATTGAGGGACCAGGAGGGTCATGGCAGATAGAGGCTACTTAAAGTGCAACAGCTGAAGAAGTGAAGGTGGTAAATCTGACACTACATACTATTATTAGTTATTATCCTACACTACAGTAAATACAAGTTTTTGAAAGTATTTTGTTCTCTTTTTACTCTTTTGTTGTTGATGAGAAAGCTGTACTTCATTGTCACCTGTTCTGGTTCTGATGAACATGTCTGCTAGGTAAATTAGATCAGAGCTGTAGTCCAAGATAATCCAGTAGAGTATGTAGTCATGTTGCAGCTCCTCAAAGCAGGCCCTGTTGGCATATAGAAAAGTTTTATTTATTTCACTTGTTAACGCCTCCATTTTGTGAGAAAACAACAATAGTGATTTTTGTCTAGGTTTAAACTTTAGGTATATTTTAGTTAAATCAGAGAAAATGGCATATCTACTAAGTTAACATTATCTGCAACAGTTAGGTAATGCCACTATACAAACATTAACAAGGAAGAAGATGCAAAGATGAATCTGCTGTCAGCTAATTCACCTGGCTATGATCATGGTCCAGTTATACATGACTGGTACTGTGATGATGAAAAGCCAGTTGTAATACAAATTCCCCGCAGGATTAACCACAAATATTTCCTTAGGCCTGTGAACAGACAGAGCAAAGGAAGAAATAATTTACCTGAATGAAGAAAGCAGTTTTTTCAGGGGAATTTTTCCAAATCATAACTTACTTGTCTTTGTCCTTTTCTTTTGCCTTTTCCTTTTCCTTCTCTTTCTCTTTTTCCTTTTCTTTCTCCTTTTCCTTTTCTTTCTCCTTCTCTTTTTCTTTCTCCTTTTCTTTTTCCTGTTCCTTTTCTTTTGCTTCCTTTTCTTCCTTCTCATTTTTCTTTTTTCTGTCAATTTCATCATAACAAAGAGTGTTAAGTCTCAGGTATTCTTACACATTTTCTGCATTTTTCAAAAAGTTATGATGTAAAAATATTTACTCTTTCTTGTCCTTCTTCTCTTTCTTTTCCTTTTTCTTTTTTTGCTTCTTTTCTTTGTCTTCTCTAGAAAGAAATAAAGCATTTAACAGGCTTAATGAGCCCACCCAGTTCATGAAAGAAAGATTAGTGCCTCATATGTTTTTTATCATTGAAGACACTACTTACTCTTCATTGTTGTTGCTGTTATTCCTATTGACCAGAAGACTGGATTGAGGTGGACATCTGAAACAAACACAGCATGTAATTTTAATTAATGTAGAAATCACTTCTATTGTTTTAGTTTCATACTTTGGATTGCATGTAAGACCTACAGGCTCTTTGAACTGTGGTGCAATAAAATAATTCAAGTATGACTTACAGGTCATCCTCACTTTGGTCTTCACTGTCAGTGGTTAGGCATTGTGCCGGCATGGTATTAATGGAAACAATTGTTGACATGGTAACCGTGGCCTTGTCCTGCAGAGTCCAAACACATGAATGTACCTAATTAATAAGGATTTAAACAAAGTTTATTGTTACAAAACTCAACAATTGCTTTGTAAAGGCTTTAAAAAACTTAAATTATCCTAAATGCTAGAGAGATGAAGTAGTGTGCAAAGCTTATATTTCTCAGAAAATACAGGATCTGATATCATATAAAAAAAGAGATCCAAAATAACATATCATTTAACATATCATTAAATTTACAACCATCAAATTTTTAAAGAATGTAAAGAAAGGCTGGTCCCTGTAGATAACATTCTTGAATCTACATATAACACAGTAACATAAAGTAATGGATGAGCCATAGTGACCAACTGTTAAGTTGGAAGAACTAGCTATTATAGAAGAGAGGCAAGAACCTCAGAATGCCTGCTTGTTACATTACAAGCTTTACAGACATTCTGATTTTCATATCCAGATGTGGTACATGCCTACATCATCAGAATTACCAAAGTTGGTTTAAAGTTTAAGTTTGACCAACAAACTCAACTAAGGAAGTAAATTATTTAAAATAATAATGTACTGAGTACATAGAAACTAACAGATTATATAGAGGCTTAACGATTCTGCTTTAAATATCCCTATTTATTGATTTTATTTCAAGTTCTAAGTTTTAGACATGACATGTGAGTTTTAATTGTCTTTAAGTCGTGAGCATGAAAATACTAAGGCTAAAAACTTGACATTCTTTTCTTTAGAACAAATTGTTTTCCCTTTCTGACACTTCTGAAATCCCAATAAAATACATTTAGATCTGCAGCTGTATAATAACAAAGGGTGAAAATGCTCAAGAGGTATGGAGACATTTGTAAGGCAGTGCACTTCAACTTGGCCCCTAAATCACTTTGAAAAAAAGAAAAAAAATCCAAATAATGTGTCACTACAGTTTGGATTTGAAACGGCTGCTAACATGTTTAATTTTCTTATATTTTTTTTTTGATAATTTTGGATTTAGGAAATGTAGGATTCATTCATATTTCTTACCTTTTTCAGTCCTTAATTCATTAAGTCCATTACTGTTAATCCTTATTTCTTTCTTTGGACGCTAAGGCTAGCCAGCACAATTAAAAAGACAAATCACGCATATGCATCTATTATTAGTATTAAAACATAACTAAAAAGCAGACACCTCTGAGCAACGAGTCTTAACAGTCACTGTGTCAGAGTGACCCTTACAAGGATTTGGGGATTAGAGCTGGGTGAGAAAAAGCAAGGCCGCATTAGTTTGTCCAATTGTCAGTCAAGCTAAAAGAAAAATATATATGGCATATTGATGATTGAAAACCCCATAAACATTCCCCTGTCACTCCATGTTTTTTATCTGCAAATATATGTTATCATCCAGGCTATTTGCAGAATAGCATAGGAGTTAGTCTTCTTGGGATCTTTCACATACAAACACCTCTCCTGCTTGGTCAGCAATCTCAGTCATATCCTCCACTGATCCTATTAGATTAGAACCAGTGGGGCAGATTTAATATCAGATGGATCTGCCCCCTTTAAATGCATGAGAGTCATGAGATGGAAACTGAAGCTGAACCTCTGAGGAAGGTTTAAATCGGCTTTAAATGGTGCAATGGCTCTCCCTATTGGTGTATCTGAATTTTGCAACTTCTTCACTTCTGCAAATATTTAAATTTAGATCATATTTGATGGGATTACTTGTACTTTATACCAGGCTTAACAGATTCACTTGATATGAGAATTTTGCCTTAGAAATCATGATAGATGATAAACAAGGCTGATAATTTTTTTCTTTTTGTACATTAATGTTTATCCATTGGTGTTTTACAAGAAAATAAAGAAACAATGGTACACATAATTACTTTAAAAGCCTTACATTTGACCTTTAGGGGACAGAAGTGAAAATGCTTATATCTGCCTCTTTTTAAAAAGCCAATAGTTTTTATATAATGGCATCCCACCATTAATTCAGGAGCTGAAAAGCATAGAAACAAATACTGTCTCTCCTTGTTCAGTTCTCACCCTGTAATAAAGTGAAAGGGTTTTCTGGTGGGTTTGTAGGCTCACCAGAGAAGTAACTCTGCAATCAGTTTACAAACAAGACCCTAAGCAAAAAATATTTCCTTTTACAAAGAGGGGTCACCAGTGCAAGGATTTAGTTATTGATGTGATAGGATAAAGTTTTCCTGGTTTTGTTAAGGAGTCTACCCACATATATATATGTGGGTAGAGGACAAGCTACACATTACAAAATCAGAGTCAAAAATAAATATATATATATATATATATATATATATATATATATATATATATATATATATATATATATATATATATATATATATATATATATATATATATATATATATATATATATATATATATATATATACATACATATATATATATATATATATATATATATATATATATATATATATATATATATATAGCATTACATTTAAAATGTTATAATATGGCTAGAAAAAGCTTGTTTTCCATCCTTTTTTAACATATTTTCCATCAAGCCTAAACTTCTGTACAAAAGATCTAATATAATTATAATCTTCTTTAAAAATTAATGTTTTTTATTAATTAGATGTAAGTGAAAAATCATAATTTCCTACCTATTGTTTTATTATTGATGGGGACCTTTATCAAAAAGTCCATACATATAAAGTGCATTATTATTATTATTATTATTATTATTGTTATTAATATTATTATTATAAATATTATTATTATTATTATATGCTGTTGTCTTTACTCTAAGCAGGGGATTAAGAGGTACAACTCACTTTGCACAAGCAGCAGGCTTTACTCTGTTGGTTCTGAAAGTAAAAAAAAAAAAGGATTTTTTTTTTTGTATTTGACTTGGTGTCCTTTATTGTTCTCTATATTTAGGATTCTTCAGTAAAACTATTTAGTTAGAAATGGCAGGTTTAGCTCTATATGTCCGGAACAATAATTGCTGGTCTCGTGTAAATTTAACCAATCATGGGGATTATTTTTAACATAATTCACTGCTAAAAGTAAAAAAGAGATAAAAATTCCTTAAAAGATAGGAAAAATTATTTTGTTTTTTGGCAAAAGTTTTGGAGGCTTTGATGCATAAAGCTTACATGGGTAAAATGTCATCTTATTTAAGAAATATATTTTTACATTTAGACACTTATCAGTGCAACACTACGTTTTACACAATGTTAAGTTATTTTTTACTCTGATTTTGTAATGTGTAGCTTGTCCGTGTACCAGTTCATTATGATTTAATGAAAACTGCCCCATCTTACCCAAGAAAGACACATCTGATGTTTTCTGGTTTGGTTTAGAAATGTTTTTAAAAAGGAAATGAGAATATTGTAGCCTATGTCTGAGATATGTTCATGTGATATTGAACTTGAAACACACAGTCTATCTGGTGTTTACTCTTAGCAAATTTTAGTGTTTTGACTCACAATCCTGTCAAGACTGTGGTTATGCATGTTGTTGGCTCACCTTTTCTCTCCATGCAACTACATATTATTAAGCTTTGTGTAGGTGCTCGGCTGCAAGCCACATCTTGAGCAATGCTGCTTTTTGGTTTTCCCTCTAAGTGAAAGGTACGTATAAGTGACTATTTTTACCTTCAAGTCAGCAGTTTTCCCCATGATTACCGAGGGTGATATTTTTGGTGTTACAAATCCATTTTTGTTTTGTTTGCCATGACCCAGGTGACTGAGAATTTACACAGGCATCTTGTAGGTGGATTTTTCTTGGTCGAAACATTTAGGCTCTCTGAGAATCTTCTTCACTCTGAGTAGTTCAAAATAAACTTAGCCTTTAAGGCCTGAGTTTATCTAAAAGTTATGGTGTGCCATGTGTAGGCAGTGCTTTTACATTGGGGGATCAATGACTTAACAGTGACAATCTGTACTGATAGCTTGTTTTTCTTGAATTCGGAGTGAAGAGGTCTCTCAGAATTTTTTTTTTGACAAAGAACAAGCCATCCAGAAAACTTGCTAAATTTTTTTATCAAACCTGTTCATTGTTCATTTTTAAATTGCAATGTTCTGTCAAGATTAAAGATTGCTTGCCATGGGGTGTAGGTCTTCAACATTATGTTAAGTTGATGTATTTAGAATTCAAAATGAATGCATAGAACAATGGGCATATGGTAACTGGAAGGGGATTTTGCTGGGAGCTAGTTGCCATGAAGTGGGCTACCATTCAGCTGGCATTTGACTGGGAAAGTCCATTTTGAATAGCTGCTGCTGTATGACAAAAAAAATATAAGAAAGCACCTTATATTCAGAGAGATTGATTATTTTAATTCTTAGCAGTAAGATGTACATATCAGACACATACAGCAACTCATATTTATTACAGAGTTGAAAAAAAAACTAAAAATGCTAACCAATTAAATTCTGGAGTAAAAAAAAATGGTTAACTTTGGACAAGCTACCTCTGATCTTCACATATCATGTATTACTTAGTCTTAACTTATTATTTTGTCAAGTCCTCTTTCCTATTCATTCAAGAAGGGCAAACAAAGTAAGCTACTGGCATTTCTGGTACTGATGTTTTTAAACGCAGAATACACCTTCACAGACAGGCAAAGGTGGATAATTACAGTGTAGCAAAAACCTCAGCAGCCGCTGTGGCTGCAGCATTATCAACAGCAGGAATAACAGTAGCAACAGGGCCAGCCACATCAACAGCCACCTCAGAAGCAGCGTCCACAGGAACAACATCAACAGGGGGTACTGCAACCACAACACCATCAACTGGTGCAACACCTGGAGGGATGGCCACCACTTCAGGCTCATCGGCTGCTGAGGGGTCTGCTGCTGGGGCTATTGTTGGGTCTGCAGGTGCTACATCAACCACGGTTGGTTCGAGCTCAGCTGTCTCTGCCTCTTCAGCCTCTTCAGCCTCCTCCTCTTCATCAGAGTTCAGAGGAGCAGCAGCAGCACCGGGGGCTACAGCTTTAGGAGCAGGGTTCCCATCCTAACAGAAATGAATAAATACTGAATGAAGTCTACATCATATTTAGGAAAGATGGGACATAATTATTGGACAAAACAAGCTGATTTTAATGCAAGATGGAATCTAAAAAATCGTGGGAAGGGCATGAGGTGTTGAAATAAATATGAAATAAGATACCCTTTTTAAAATGATCTATAATTGTAATTAGGACAAATATAATCCAGTAGTGTACAGACAAATGAGCATTTGCTTCTAGAGTACAGGTGATGGACTTGCTTGGATATGTAGTAATTGCATTGTTTAGCAAATCAAAGTAAGTATATCATATAAGTATAAGTATATACATATATAAGTATATGGTAAGTATATCATGCAGAATGGCTCGTGGATTATATGGCAAACATTACAAGTTACACTATTCAACCAACAATGAAAGGACACACAATCAAAATCACGCACAATCAAAATCATTAAAACAAAACCTGATAATCAGATACAAATATATTTTGTAAAATGTTGAATACAGTGATTGCTGAAGCTTGCTTGTAGCATTTTTTTGGCTTAAAACTCAAGTGGTTTGCTCACCTCAGCCTCCTCATCTGAGACATCCTCTGCAGGGACGGGAGCCAGCTGGGCTTGCACAGCATCCACCTGAAATTAATGTTTGTTTGTTTTTTCTTTTTCCTTCCTTAAATGGCACTAAACGTCCTGACAAATGAACGGCAAAATGCTGCCTTCATACTCACCCGAGGGGCACCAGGTGACTTAGCCTTTCCAAAGAAGAAAACATATACTTCAGTGAATAACAAATAAATCCTCTGTTTAGTCTTTATTGTTTTCATGTAAATATAAATATTTATACAAAGTTTTGATATTAAAAAAACTTACGGGAGCATTAGCAGCTTGAAGGAAAGGGTTTTCTAGTCCCTGAAAAAAAGTTTCAGTTACACACTTGAAGCTGATGTTTAATGCCAATTTATCCAAACTAATGAGCAGAACAGCTATATTTATCTGGATGGAAAGTCAATGAACCCCATCCCCCTACCTGTTGCTGGTATAGCCTGTACATCTCCATCAATCTTAGGGCCTCATTAGCATGTGCTGCAACCTGCTAAGAAAATAAATAAATAAACATCACCAGACATAAGCTACAACAAAGCCAATTTTTCCTCCCTGTTAGACAGACATCATACTGTTTAGCTGATGACATGAAATAAAAGGAAATGGAAGAATGAAATCCTCCTACCTCACCACTTTCACTCCCTGGTGCCTACAGTTTAAGACAGGAAAGTAAACAACCATTATTCAGTCTGGATGAGCAACAATCTTAAGGAGTTTAAAATTATCTGTCCCACAGCCTGAGATAAAAAAAAGAAAAAAAAAAACATCAGGAAAAACTCACAGGCGCAGCAAACGTTGATGCCAGAAGGCACATGGAGAT